AATTTGCAAACAGTCTGACTGTGAGTGAGCTGAGAACATTGCCTCGCATGCCAAGCAATACGTTCTCTTTGTTTCCCTGTGCTCCTTCAACTGGTGGCAACCATCTGCCTCCACACAGACTGTAGGTTCTTTGGGGTAGGACCATCTCTTCCTTCTGTAAGCTGACAGTGCCCAGTCCTGTTACTCCGACAGTTACATTTGGCTTAGGCAAAATTCCTTTTAGCTTAGCTCTAATTTTTAAGTAATGCACAGAATGATTTGCAAGGACATACTCTCAGATCTAATAACTGTTGAAGTCAAAAAGCCCAGGATTAGTCATACAGTTGTGTGTAGAGGAAGATTTGCTGGTTTGTTTTCTTTATATGGTTGATTTTATTGATTTGCCTGCAAAGACAAACCTTTGTGTTTACTCCTATCCCGCACAAAGGGATGCAGTGAAAGCCATAGGTAGGTTCAGAATCCTACCCTGTATTCCTCCACCCTAGCCTCTTTAAGGATGATGAATTTTAGAAAGTACTTCTTTAGTTAAATATCTGGATTGTTTTCAAAATTATGACTTCCAAATGTCATGTTGTCATCGAAGCACAGAATGAAAATTGTGCATGTGTTATGGGAAATCCTCTTGTAAAATTTTGCCCTTGTATCAGTGTGGAGGGCCTAGAGTAAATCAATCTTTATAACCCTCAAAGCCAGCAGGGAATCTTGCTTTAAACCATTTATTGTTCAGCACATAGGCAGTGCCCTGTAGTGTTCTACCTGCAGTCTGTTCCTGTCAGGTAGGAGAAACCACTGTGGGAGACATCAGCCCCAATCCCTTGAGGCATATGGTGGGTCACAAGAAACTGTTGCCCATCAACATGCACACATGCCACTTGCCTGAGGTCCCTTGGGGCTGCCAAAAGCCTCCTGTCTTCAGGTGTGCAGGCTGCCTTCCCCTGGCAGAGAGGGGTGGCTGTCACCCCAGCCACCCCTGGGGCAGGATTATCCCCTGCTTGGGCTCATGTTCTTGCTCTCACATTGTCACAATCATGACCTTGCTGCACCAAAGCCGGTAATGTGGCTTCCCATAGGAAGCAACTGCGGCAGTGGGAGAATCACCTGCCTTTCCCCTGCCTTTGCCACCATTGCTCGGGGCCCAAATAATACCCATAGGTCAGCACACACTAGCCCCGGCCAGCACACACAAGTCAGCAATAACAGCATTGCAAATAGGAACCACCAGCAGCAGTTTGAGCAGGTCCCAATGAGACCTGTGTGCTTTTTGCAAGGGGCTTTCTGAGATAACCCTGTTGCACTGGGGGAAACCCTAGGGAGGCTGCTCACCTGGGCACCTCCATCAACTCTTCCCATGGTTTAACTCCCACACCTGACCTACTTACCTCACTCCTCCTCCACTCTGCTGCAGGATGGCTACAAAGTTCTTTAGAAATAGATTAAAAAAAAAAAAAGAAAGCAGCGAGGGGGGAAAAAGCATTTATAGTTGTAGGCAGTGGACTGTGGTGTATGTGAGAGTCAGGGCCTGCTACCATCCAGAGTCTCAAGTGCCGTAGGCCATTGCTATTCCAAATCCCGCAGGGATTTCCAGTGGCAAGAACTGATGAGAAAAAAGCGGTATGGGACCCTTTCCTGAAGAGAAATTTCTAATCTAGAAGCTGAAGTATTGATGTAGAGGGAAATGTATATGTAACTGCCCTTTTGTCAGGATAAAAATGAATATGCTAGGAAGTATCTGGGAAAATGAGCTGGAAAATCAGAATCATTGTATGGAGCACAGGAAGTAAGGAAAACTGGAAAGTTGTTGAGCCTGACTTTAAGAGATAACATATTTAAGGATCTGAAAGTGCATTCTTATGATGAGAGAATCTTAGAATCATTAAATCTGGGAAAGACCTCTAAGATCATAAAGTCCAGCTGTCAAGAGAAGCAGAGGCCTGTGAAAGAAGTCTGGGGCACATAGAGAAAGTGTCAGGTCCAGGGATGATTACTGCCTAAATGTTTGAGGCATTTGCCTCAGGGTGGTTTACAGCACAGACTGCAAAATCTGCCAAAAGAGCAGGGCCCTGAGCCCCCTGCTGCTGTGCTTTCCCTGCTGCTTGCACTGAGCTGAGGTGGGTGATGTCATGTGCACTGCGCTCTGGAGAGACAGGGACATGCAGCACTGGCAACATGGAGAGCTTTTTGGGGAGTGCCAGTCAAGAAGGTGCTTCTAACAGTGTGTAAAGAATTTATTTCTGTTGGTTAATTCCTGCTGCATTTGGGGAAGCAGCCCTTGCTGATGACAAAGGCACAGGATTACAGTGAAGGAACTTATTAATTTCTCCTCTTAATAGAAATAGAGCACAAGATGGTGAATATTGACAGCTGGGTTCAAAATGTTCCTTGTCTTTAATTTTGGGGAGGATATCAGCATATCATTGACATTTTCAGCTGCTTGTTACCTATTAGGAAACAGTACCCCCATTAAGCAGTGAAGGCATTAGTGGATGAATGAAGTGAGTAGTCTGCACAGCCCATGGGATCCCCGTGTATGTGCCAAAAGAGGCCTTTGTGGCTCGTTGGCCAGTCCCTTGCCCAGGAGGGGCACATTCGTCTCTGCATCCTGGCAGTCAGGACTCAATTTTCAGAGGCTTGAACTTCAAAAGGAACAGAGGCAGCCCTTTGTTTATTCAAAGTTCACCTGAAACAGCCTATGAGGGTTATTCTTTCAGAGCCCTTGGGCAACTAATACAGATTTTGGTAACATCTGCAATTACAGAAAAATGTTCTATAATTCAGCTGTGTTGAGCATGGCCAAGAAATCCTTTTTAAAGACAGCTGTGGTAGTCAAAGCATATTCTTTGCTTTCCCTTTTATTTTCTGCACAAAGAAAGTTGTTTGGAAAGCTCTCCCATTCTGAATACCATGCCACAGGAATCTCACTGCCATTCTCCAAATGGAAAGAGTTACACACAAAATGGCAGAAATAGGTAGTAATACATTTTTTTGCACCTCCTGGAACTCCGATACTGCAGTAAGGAGGTTTTTCTTTGAATGTAGGCAAAGCTGGAAATTTAAAGGAAAAACTCAGTGTTCTGTGTATTTCCAGAAAAAGGTGGACTCTGCAACATTAGCCTTATCCTGCTCTGGGCAGCAAGCACAGGCACTGTCCTGCTTGTTCAGGAAAGCTGGCATGGGGCATACAGTAAGAAGAATTTTTCATAGTACTGGTTTTCATCTCAAATGCATTTTGGCAGATACTGATTCCTATTAACTTCAGTAGGCTCCCAATTTTATGTTGATTGCTTCCTGTTAATACAGTATTTCTTATAGCTAAGGAACATAGCACTTAAGGTTTAGCATGGGGGCACTGTGCAAGCTGCATATTATGAAACAAAGGAACCAACAGATTGGCAGGTTCCCAGACTCTTGCTTTTAGTGCCCAGAGAAGCTGTGGAAATGTTCAAAGCCACGTTGGATGGGGCTTGGAGCAACCTGCTCTAATGGAAGTTGTCCCTGCCCATGGCAGGGGAGTTGAAACTAGATGACCTTCAAAGCTCCTTGCCAACCCAAACTATTCTATGATGATCTGCTGATGATGATTTAGACTGACACTATAGGATGAGTTTTACTCGTTAACTTTTTTTTGAATGAGACGTAACTCTGCTGGTGCCAACAAGGTTGATGTGGTACAAAGATGGTGCAGCAAAAGGAAAATGAGATCTGCCCACTGTGTGCTGTGTAAGCCAGAGCCTCAGAATCAAACAGAAGTGTTCCTTTATATAACATTAATTAGGTATCTGCTGAAAAGAAGATGAGTTATGAGAATTCTTGAAAAGTGGTATCATTGTGGAATACCTAATATAGAGTACTTCTCCAGGTAGAAACATATTTCTGCTCTTTTACAGCAGAAATATTTTTCAGCGAGCTTTAGGATGCCATAGCAGAGATTATAGGGGTGCAAATCAGCACTGATCTCTGGAACACTTGTGATGAAAACTGATGTGGGTTCAATGTGCTCACTGGTGGTATACTGACTTACACCACCTGAAATTTTTTACCTTGCAAGTAGGACTAAATCTGGAGTCAAATTCTGCCTTGCTATCCATATTCAAGGTTGCATGTATTGATAATGAAAAAAGGAGCTTTCTCAACACGATCTATCCATGGACACTCCTAAAAGATGGAGAAATTAATTTTGTAAATTAGATTTTACCACCATTTCTCACATAGTGTGCTATATGACTCCAGGAACAGAACTGAATCCAGTGAAAAGAGATCACCGTTAACAGAAAGTAGTAATAACAGTAAGTATCAGATTAGGTATTTCTAGTGGTAAAGATTTAGCAGTAGAGAAACAAGCAAGAACATGCATAATGCTGAATAAAAGAGAACACTCTCGGGAAAGAAATAATTTATTTTTGAATATACCTCCAAATAGCCATGTAATATTAGCACATCCTTTCAACTCGGGTCATGGCTGCATTAAGGTTCCTACCCAGTCAGGTCAACCTGTGGGTATAAATATATGCTTTAAGTTATGTAAACACCATCCAATCCTACACCATCCAATCCTATTTGCATCGTCACTCTATGACACGAAATGCTATAATGACCTCCTTTTCATTTGTCCAGTGCTATGTATAAAGCAGGCTTAGGTCCTTTTCTTGTTAAGGAGGTCGGCTTTCTTAATGAGCTTTAAGCATTCCCAGAGAGTCTTTCAATATTGCAAGACATACCTGGCCCCAGGCAGGACAGTTATGGCTCTGCCAACACCTAAGTGGTGCAGACAGATCCCATGTGACAGGTTATGTAACTGAGCTGGGCTTTATATGCCCCGGGACCCAAAGCATGTAAAGGGCTCGAGGGAGAAGAGCATCAGGTGAGGAAAAGATGTTTGCATACTATGCTTCTTGGGGTGCTTTTGGCATTGTAGCAAACAATATTAGGCTTAATGTTATGCTTCATTAAGAGGTCAATTTGTAATAAATCCGTGGGATTTAGTGATGATTTGTGTGTTCTAGAATTGAAGGGGCTGATATTCTACGAAGACTCAGAAATCATGATGATTCCTCTCCGGAGAATGACACCTGGGTATATAAGGTTGTTGCAGGTATGAAATTATGTGGGTTTGGTTTTTTTTCTGCTTTTAATTGATCTTCATAGTACCTGTGTTTCTCTTGACCAGCCTGATTTTATTTCAAATTATTGCATGACCAACCCAAGGGAACACTTGTTTCTTGTGGGTTAACTTACATAGCAACACAAAGAAGGCTTAATTAAGCCTCTGCTGAAAAGCAATTGAATTCTGATATATCTTGATAATTGGTATCATGGTGGAATACCAAATGCAGAATACTTGGAAGGAGTTTATGCTTCTGCAGTGCTAAAACAGAAACTGCTTCTCCATAATTTTCTCTTTCAATGGCTTTGTGTATTTGGGGCAGTAGGAAAATGTTAACGGGAAGAAGGATGATGGCTTCCTGATCAACTCAGATGAGCTGTCAGTGAAACACTTCACCCAGCTTCCATGGCTGTGATAAAGAAACCTCAGTCAGTGATGTGCTCTGGAACACAGGGGGACATTCAATCATTATATGAAAAAAAAATAAAATAAAAGCAAGCATAGAAAATGCTTTAAAACAACTGAATAATGGAGACTAAAGCAGCAAAGCATATATATATATATACATATACATATAGCAAAGTAGAACATCTTCCTTATTTTACTACATATTTTGATATTTACAGTGCATCTATCCTTTCTCTGGAAAATGTCACAGCTCTTAACAGTGTGATCTGCATCCAGAATCATAGGCTACAGTAGCTGAGAGGTGATGATTGAGTAGTTGAGAGGCTGAGCTAACGATACTGTGTTTCAGACCTAGCAATGAATTTCTTTCATGTTTCCCTATATATCTTTCGGTATCACCCTACGTAGTAATTCTGTTTGGAATTTTCATTGTCTTTATTTATTCTACTGCTGAAGAAGCCCCAGTCAGATACATTTGTCAAGGTCAGAGCACTCAGCTCTGATTCTTTAAGCTCTATAAAAAAACTGGAATATGGAAGTGAAAATCAGGCTCCTTGGAATCTGTTGCTCCTCTCAGTGGTGCCATCCATGCTTTCTGTCCATGGATTGCAAGGGAAATCATTAAAAACATTATTTGAGGCCTAGTCCTCTTTTCATGTACAAAAAAAATGCAGCAACTAGAAAGACACATGATATGTTTTAACTCAAAGAACCAGTGTGTATTGGAATTTCCATTTTGCTCTCTAGAGAGTCCATACAACTGCATTTCTGCTTTTTGGTTAGTATATCATATGTACTAGGCAAGCAACAGTAACTTCTTTTTTGATTGTTTTTCAGATAATAGGTAATTGATTTCTTTTTATCTTTACTTTGATTGTCTTGAACGAAGACGCTGTGTCTTGGTTATACTTGACAAAGTGACTGTGTTAAAACTTGTCTACTTGTCTACTGGAGCTCATGAGCGGTGTTCGTGATCCCTTTTAGCCTTGCTTTTCTGAATTAATATCTAATGTTCAAGGGAGCATCTCTGTGTTAGTAGCTAATCTGTGGGAAGGAAGAGATCTTTGTACTTTGCTGAACAAGAAAGTTCCTTCTCCTTTATGCCTAAGCCTCCACACTTGATTCATCTCACCCTCTCGGCATGGTAGCCACATGGAACCCCATTAAAGTCACCAAAATCAATAGTTGCAATTGAAAGAAAAATCGTATCAGAAATGTGTCCTTTCTTTTGCAAACTGATAAAAAGGCATGTTAAATGGCATGGAGAAGAAAGAAGTGCTTTGTAGGTTCCAAAGCCCTTCCTTTGTGTGGCACTCAGCTGAATCAGCATGTAACTTGCCCTGTTTCTCCCACAGACTCAAGCTGCAGCAAAAATTGTTATCAACCCATCAGACACAGCACTGCAACGGGCGGCGTTCCTCCTGGGAGTGTTTGGGATCAGTATATCCAGCTACAGCACACACCAGCTAACTCAAACAAAGAGATTTCCCTTGACCCCTTAAGCTGTGTTGGGATGTGACCCAAGAAGTCCAAGCTTATGACAGCCACTGCTGATGAGTGGCTTTTCTGCCTCAGTTACCAGTGTGGAGGTAATGAGACACTTTGCAGTCGTGACTTCTACATGCAAAGTTAAAAAGATGGAAGAATTCCAGACATCTTCAAGAAAGAAAAAAATGCTATCAGAATAATCAGATTTCCAAATAACAAAAACTGTCTGTAAATACAATGGACTTCTTTTGTTATCCAGTGTATACACAGAGAGAGACCTAAAGGTATAAAAATGCAGTTACATTCGGAGTAGGTGTAAACAGGTTGATGGGGGTGCTGTGCTTCAGGAGAATTGCACTGCATTGCAGCTTTTGCAAATTGACTCTGATGCAAAGACTGGTTTTGAAAAGAAGTTAAAGGCAACGTATTCCTCTAACAGAGTTAGAACAAATGAAAGTAATCTCCCATTGACTCTTTTCACTATTCTATCTAACTAGATATGTACATTTGTGTGTATTTCAGAATTTGTGCATTCTAGCCTTTTTTATTGAATCCTAAACATTTCTTGATGCCTTTTGAGTAGCAATGTCTGTGTATTGTAACACAAGCTGGTGGTCTTCTGCCACAGCAGAGAAGGCCACAGGCTACACCAGCCATATGGTGCTGGGAAAGGCCCGTGGCTCCAGACCAGATAACTTCATGACTCTGTACAGTAACTCTCTGTTCTAGAAAGTATCAGTAAAAATATCTGATCAAATTCCTCTGCAAAGCCAAATCATCCCATAATATATATTCTGATTAACATAGAAATAGAGATTAACCTTTTTTTCCCTCCTTCTCCCTGTTTTTTTTTCTCACTTGGTGCAATAGCTTATTCAAGAATGTTCTTTTACTATTGGTTTGCATTTTTCCAACTGTTTCTGATGTTTTATGTAAACATAGCTTTGTGGGCTCTTCTGTACATATGTTAACAATTAAAATCCTTTGTTCTCAGTTACTAAATACAAATATTATTTTGGAGTTTTTTAGTGTTTAAAATTATTTAATCTGTCAACAGTGTATATATTCAACCACTAAGGGGCATCCTACACAGCTGAATATTTTGAACTCTTCAGGTTGCTCATTCCAACATTACAAACCACAAATTGAATCAGGCTGAAATTTTTACTTTTTGGGTTTTTTTTAAAACTGTTGTTTCTCGTTTCCTTTTTTCTCATCCCCTCCAAGAAATGTCTCTCCTCTCCCACAGCTCTTGTAAACTGAAGATGATGAGAAAATCAGCATTTACAAGGCCTTTTTTTCCAATGTGCCAGGTCACAAATTACCTGCATCTTGTATGGACTTCTGTTTATATTTAAAAAATCATATAATGCAATATTCCAACTTCTGACTTCCCCTACAAGAAATGAAACAAAATACTTGAACCCCTTGACAAAAGTAAGAATGATACCTCTGAAAAGCATTCAGTCACATAGACTGACATTACACAGTGTGACCCCCACCATCACCCTCAGTATGCCACAATTATGGCTTTTTAATCTATTCATATGATTTTGGGCAGCTGCAGTTCTGTTAACTGATTTCCTGCTCCCATTCAACACAAATGTAAGACCATTAGCTGTTTTCAGGGCCATTACTATGCTAGTGCAAACTCTTCTGTTAGATGAAGGCTAAGTGCAATAACAACATCATTTTAAGAAGATATACTAGAATAAAATAAATAATAACTTGGCCGTGAGATGTTCTAATTAGAAGTGATGCTCATAAGGTATGTGTACTTTTTTCATGAGAATTGCTTTGAATAGTTTTGAAAGCTTTATTTAGTACCAGGGAAAACAACCAGAGGACAACACAGGCAATAGGTACATTGAGTGTGGAGAGACTCAATAAAGGTATGAGCCGTAGGAGCCTTGGGAACATACAGTGAAGCACCAGGGAGATGTAACTGAAATTATTTACAAAACAGATTTAAACTTGCTGATGGTGAATTTGGCTGAAAATCACCTTCAGGTGAAAAGTTGGCACTGCATCCAGCAGAAGATGTAGGCACAGGTATCTTACCTGTCTGTTCCTGCAGAAATCTACATCTAAAATGTCAATTTTCTGAAGTTCAGCTGTCAACTAATGCCAGGCACAAAAGACATCCATGTGCCCTTCCCTTTCACTGCTGTGTCTCCCTGGAAGATTTGCTTTCAGCCTTCCCCTCAGCCAGGTGAGGCTGGGGTGTGATGAGCACCCAGACATCAAAACCTTGTGGGGGTGGCAACAACATGCCCATCTTCTCATCCTTCCTATGGCTGGAAGCATAGCAATGGACTGGAGGCTGCCCAGAATATGACTGGAAGCTAATATCCTCTGTCTCATTTTGTCTTGCTGTTGGTCAGAGCAAATACTCTTTGGCAGAGGAAGGAAAGGCAGCTGCACAGATCTCCCACAGAGGAGCCCATGGCACTGTACCTTCCCTCCTCATGTTCTTCTGAAGGACCAGTGTGGTCCCAGGGGGGCCCAGCTCCTAAAGCAGGCTGGCTCTATGAACCTGTCCCTGCTCTGCATCCACTACAGCAGAGGGCCCAAACAGGCAATTAGGATAAGCTAAAACTTTATCCTCCTAATTGCCTGTTAGCTGTTTGCCCCCTCCCTGCACTTGGTGTGCCATGGGTTTGGACTTTACCTATGTTTGCCATGTTTATAGACATCTAACTCAAGCCTGCAGGCTCAGTATGTGGCTGGTCTCCCAAAATCTGAATAGGGTAATCTGTGCTGCAATTCCCAGATGTGCCTGTGAATGTTCTCTTCAAAGCTCTGAGCATGCCAAACTTCAAGCATATGTTTATGTCCTATTGAAGTCAAAGAGGGTTTAAGGAACATCCTCACATCCTTTGCCAGACTGAGGTATTTAATCTCTTCCTTGATCTCCCCCCAAAAAGCATTTACATTTTAAATATATTTGTACTTTTGTTTATATGGCTTTTACATCAAAAATGTTGGCAATTCATCAACAACTGAATGCTGATGAGAGTCAGGAGCCTGGTGAGCTTGGAGAGGTTAATGCTGCATTACTTAGTTTTAAGAAACACCAACAATAGATTTCATTTGGCATATAAATTGTTATGTTACATTTGAGGACTTAGGCTCCAGGAATTACTTTTTACCTTCCCTAGCTTGTAAAAATATTTAAATAGAAGCACTATTTAAGCTAGTAAATATTAGACTTTCTTTACAAATACACTTTAAAAACCATTTAATAAAAATTATTAGATTGGTTTTACCTCTAATATCAGACAAATATAGGTTAATATCTCCTGGTGCTGAACAATGGTAACTCAACTAATCCACTTCTAACAGCAGTAACTTCTCTAGTCTGAATTATGTCTTGATATATCAAGTTAATTATTTTATTCTTTGAGAAGGAATCACAAGAGATTTTGTAGCTGTTTGATTTGTATGCCTGAGTCCACCTCCTAAAGGCAAATGAAATAAAAGTATTAAATAATCAGAAACTCAAACATGGTTTGTATTCTCTTCAAATAGATGTAGCATAGACTGGAGACTTGTTTGTGATAAATGGCATTGCTAGTGAATATCACAGAGCATTCAAGCTCCCTTTCACATATATACTCGGTTATCTAAAGCAGGATTTCTGTCTTATTCCATCAGGACAGGCAACCAAGGACAGTCACTCAAGGTAGCACTCATTTACTAGTCAGGGAAGTATAAAATGGAGGCAATGTCTGACATATTTTCATGCATCTTCTGGAAATTATGTTTCTGCATGAAAATTACTGCTCTAGAGAATTACTTATCTCTAAAGTTAGAGCTGCAGATTGTGCCTTTCCTGATATATCATAGACCAAGAAGACAAACTTGAGTTCGCCTTAACAGAGAATGGAAGCTCCATCACTTCCTAGGCAGAGGTAGTGTCATCATGGTGCTGAACCCCTAATTTGTATATCAAACTAAGAACAGAAGGCAAACAAGCTGAGAAACCCTTCATTTTAGACCATTTTTGCTAGTGCTAGATGCATGGAAGTCTGGCCTCAGCTGAGGTTTCAGGTGCTGCCATAGTGGTAATTAGCAAATTAATAAATTAATAAATAAAACTGGAGCACTGATGCTGTATGGGAGCTTCCCTCTTGAGATGTTCTGTGTTGGAAAATCGCCTTTTCAACCGCAAGTTGTGCAGTGGGTTTATCAGTGGCAAAGCTGAATGCCAGTGTTAATTCACTTCCCTGGCCTCAGTTGAATGTGGCCACAGAGACTTAACTGAGAAATAGTTTTACCTGTGCAGTGCAATGGTGCTTCCGTATGGATATGTTAGTAAAAAAACAAACAGAAGAAGACATTAATGCTTGTCACATCTTTTCCTGCCTTGGATAAAAGGCCTTTTCCCCCCTTAGTTATGAGTAGTCAATGACAACACAAAATAACACCTTAAAGAAGTCTTGTCTTTCATATGACTTTCTTGTTGTTCTTCTAAAACTACCACAATTTAATAAGGTAGCTGAAAGGTAGTTTAATCAAACAGCAGATTAATAAGGTTCCTGGGGCTACATTCACTTCAGCTTTTAACTAAGTGTATAACCATGAGCTATGGAGTGTCACTGACTTTTAATCAGAGTGCCCCTGTCTCTGCAGTGCATGTGTTTGTAAGCATAAAAACAGCCCCAAAGGGCCCAGAAAGAGATGTTTCTTCCCCTCCTTATCAGCATTCTTGCGAGTGACCTTTTTAAGAGCACAAAGTGATTAAAAACAATAATCCATACCTTTTTGAAAGCTTTTAGGAACTTCATCCACAACACCCCACTGATGAGGTCCGTCCTACAAGGGAGACACTGGAGTCAGAGTAATCAAAGGAGGTGTCTGATGCCGAGCAGAGTGAGGGCTGAATTAGCTCTCAGTGGGTGCTTCCATGTGTTTCCCTAAGAAAGAGTGGGTGAGATCCAGGTCAGCTGACGTGAACAATGGAAAGTTTGGAAAAGTCTGCGAGCACTCTTAACTCCCACTACACACAGTGGGAGTGGGTCCTGGTGAGACCACCGCCACCCTGGCACCTGGCAGCAGCTTGAAGGTGCTTCACAGTGAGCTGAAGGAATGTGGATGGTTTCCTTACATGTCAAAGTACTTAGTGTTTGGGGGTTCTATAATTTTTCTGTAATTTTCCTCACTGGGGGAAAGGGCTGTATCTCATTGCTGTTATTTAAACCAGAGTAAGGAATAAATACAGAGTCAGAGTGACCCTGCTGCTGAGAAATATTTTTAATCTTTTTTAAAAAAGCAAATGACAAATTAGTTTGTCCTTCACTCTCTGTTCTTCAGTAATGGATTACAGGAACTTGGAACTTTTGGCCCAACAGGGATTGAGGCACGTAAAGCCAAAATTGCTGAAAGCTTGGACAGAATCGTCACTGGCCAGGAATAGCTCAAACACCATGTGTCTTCCCTGTCATAGCTGAGCCATAGTTCCTTTTAAAATGCAAGCTTTGCCTTAAGGGAAAAGAAAGCTGTGCTCTGCTCCTCTAGGGGTCTTCAGCTGCACTGTGATAGATCCCTGAGGAGAGGAAGGGCAGAGGAACGGAACCAAAAAATTTGCTTCACCATGACCCTCCAATGGCAGAAGAGCCCCTCGGCTGCTGCTTTGGGTCAAGACAGCCAGAGAATGGCTGAGCTTTTGGTGAGGGTCCCCATCCCTGTCCCTGCTGTCT